GGGGGGGGGCACTCGTCCCTGCGCGCTCTCTGCTCCGCGGACCAGAGCGAACCGAACGGGAGTTATTACTGCCATTGTATCGGTTTGGGATCGTGCACCCGGCTGGCCACGCGGATAGCAAGGGCGGGGCGGCGGCGCCGTTCAGCTGCGCGACCACGCCCCGCCGCGCCCCGCCACGCCGTTCGAATAGGCGGAGGTCCGGCCGCGCACCGCGCGTCTCGTCTTACGTCAGGAACACACACAATCGCACGTGCGGCGGTGCGTGGTGTCAAACGCCGCCCGCGCCATTTGAATGCAAAAAAGGGCAAGGAGAGGGGTGGGGGGCACTTTGCGCCTCCGGCAGAGACGCACTTTGGGACTGTCGAAAAAGACGGCGTTGAAGTGGCGGAAGGGGTTCTACCAGGCCAAGGACCCACGTGCTCACCGAGGAGTACTTCTAATTCAAGTATACATTACCCAATGTTTACATTTTTTTTTCTATTTTTTTCTGATTATTTATTGACTCTTAGTTCATTTCCCCCCGATTTTCTCTGACTTTGCAAACTTACCTGGCTGACACCGCTGTCCTCTCTCTCCCTCCCGCAGGCCGCGCCCAGCTGAGCGACAACACGCCGCCCGTCATGCACATCGACCGCGACTGGCTCATCTCGGACGCGGAGCCCGTGGGCTCGGTGGTGACGCGGGTGCGCGCCAGCGACGCGGAGGGCGACGCGCTCAAGTTCGGTCTGGAGCCGCTGCAGCTGTACCCGCACCCGCAGGGGGAGCCGCCGCCCCCGCTCCCCTTCGCCATCGACGAGGACACGGGCGTGGTCAAGACCAACGCCTCGCTCAAGGATCGGGTAAGTGTCGCGTAGTTGTGTAGATTTCCTTCCATTTGAATGTTTGCCGCCGTAATAATAGGAATTTCAAAAAGTATATTTTGTGTGACGAAATAAAACAATTTTTGGACCGCGCGAGCGTAGGCAGGTGGGCAGGGCGCCAGCAGCGAGCCGGCAGCCATATCCAGTGCATATCGGTGCCAGCGCCGGGGAGGAGGAAGGGGGGGGGGCGCTAGAAGAGGCCCTCCCTGTTATTAGGGAAGAGCTCCCGTTGCGTTGCTGGCCCGTGATTATTGGCTAGAGACTTGGCTGGGCCCATAGGCCTGGCTGGCCTCCAGCGAGTCTCCAGCAGCACCCCGACACCCGCGGTCACTGCACTGTGCAACGCACAAACTCGATCACGATGGTTTTTATTGCGTTCTTTCTTTTATGGGCCGTGAGGACCTTGGCGCCTGCCTGATAGCTGATAGGTACGACTAGGCCACCCGGCGCGCTCGACAGCGACCCGGGGCGGCCTACCTCCACGCCGCGGGCGCTCACGCGCAAGCGCTGACCCGCGACGACGCGCCGCTGCTGCTGCTCATGCCGTTTGTCGGCCATGGTATTGACCTCGTGTTTTTGTCTGTCCCTGCAGGGCGGCGAGCTGATGCGGCTCTACGTGACCGTGTCGGACGGCACGGTGACGGCCAAGAACGAGGTGGTGGTGAAGGTGTCGGCCGGGCCGGTGTCCGGGGCGGGCGGCGCGGGCTCCTCCCGCAGACCGCCGCGGCCGCCCAACTTCCCGCCGCAGCTCGGGGGCTCGAGCCGCCTCCGGCCGCCGCCCTTCCTGCCCTTCCCGACCAACTTCGTGCCGCCGGGAGTGCCGGTCGCGCCCATCCACCCGGGCATCCCCGCCGTCAACCCGGGGCCGCCGCCGAGCCTCCCCGCGGCGACACCCACCCACGGCAGGCCCCCGCCCCCGCCCGTGTGGCCCACCCTGGGGCCCGCCTTCGACAACGCCACCACCAGCACGGCGACGCAGGTGAGTGTCCGCCAGGGCCTCCTCGGGACCTCCTCGTCGCGTCACCTGCGGCCGCTGACGCCCCCGTCTTTGTGTTGCAGGCCGTGCCCACGCTCGTCTCCACCGTCACGCCGACGCAGGGCTCCGCCCCGGGCGGTGACGCGGTGGCCACGCACTCGCTGCCGGATAGCCTGCTGGTCATGGTGCTGCTGGCGGTGCTGTGCATCGGGCTGGTGCTGGCCGGGGTGCTGGTGCTGCTGCGGAGGCGGCTCTGCGCGCGCCGGGCCGCCAAGGCCTCCAAGGAGGACCTGCACAAGGAGGCGAGCGGGCTGTCCAGCGGCATGTCCAGCGGCCTCTCCAGCGGCCTGTCCAGCAGCGGCATGTCCGCGGACGAGCCCATGGCCATGCAGCAGTGGCGCGGACCGCGCGCCTTCAGCAACCGCTACGAGGCCTGGGAGTCCAGCGGGGTACGTACCACCTCGACCACGGCGCATGTCACCCGACGATGCCGCAGTCGGAGGTCGGCTCTAACCTTCGCTGTCCTTCCCTGTTCTAGAGCGCGGGTGGCATCCCACCCATCGCACCGGGGCCGATCAAGCCGCGCGATCGATGGGAGTTCCCTCGCCACCGGCTCCAGGTGTACGACATCCTGGGCGAGGGCTGCTTCGGCCAGGTGTGGCGCTGCGAGGCTCTCGACATCGATGGTAAGCATCAAAGCTTTTAACGTTCCCAACATTGGTGCTCTTTCTCAACCTGCCCCAATTTTATGGCCGTGTTTAAAACTCTCTTGTAGGCAAAGAGGGCAAGTCCATCGTTGCTGTCAAGACCCTCAAGGAGAACGCCGGCGAGAAGGAGCGGACGGACCTGCTGCAGGAGCTGGCCGTCATGAAGACCCTGGAGCCGCACCCGAACGTCGTGCGGCTGCTGGGCTGCTGCACGGACAAGGACCCCCTGTTCGTCATCATGGAGTTCGTGGCCCGGGGCAAGCTGCAGAGCTTCCTGCGCTCCTCGCGCGCTGAGCGCGACTACGGCAACCTCCACGGCCCGTCCAGGACGCTCACCTCCAGGGACCTCACCTCGTTCCTGTGCCAGGTGGCCAAGGGCATGGAGTTCCTGTCCTCCAAAGGGGTGAGTAGTTCCGCCGGTGTGTGGCTCGACATGACTGCAATTGCTTCGATATTTAAATGACCCCACCCTTTTTTTCCCCGACGACCGACAGATCATCCACCGGGACCTGGCGGCGCGCAACGTCCTGGTGACCGAGGACCGGACGTGCAAGGTCGCGGACTTCGGCTTCGCGCGCGACCTCATGGACAAGAACGTGTACGAGCGCAAGTCCGAGGGGCGGCTGCCCATCCGGTGGATGGCGCCCGAGTCGCTGTACGACAACGTGTTCTCCGTCAAGAGCGACGTCTGGAGCTTCGGCGTCCTCATGTGGGAGGTGAGTGTTGGCCGGGTGTGGCCGCGCGCGCCGCTTCGAGCCGACCGCAAGCTGACCGCAACTGTCCTCCTCTCCTCTGTCCCGCAGGTGGTGACTTTGGGCAGCACGCCGTACCCGGGCATGGGCGCGGCCGACGTGATGCGCAAGGTGCGCGACGGCTACCGCCTGGACAAGCCGGAGCACTGCCGCCGGGAGCTGTACAACATCATGTTCTACTGCTGGGACCAGGAGGCCAAGGACAGGCCCGACTTCTCCGAGCTGGTGCAGCGCACCGAGGACTTGCTCCTCACCGAGACGGACTACATCGAGCTCGAGAGGTTCCCGGACCACTCGTACTACAACATGTCCTCGCTCAGCGGAGAGAAGCTCTGAGCACTTACTCCCCCTTCATCGATACCATTATACAAATTTCGTTATGTTTCGTTCTCACCCTTTTCATAGTGTTGCCAGCCAGCTCTCTTTCTCTGGTTTGCGCAGAACAAGATCATCTGGTTTAAGTGAAATATCATTGGAAAAATGCTTTCCGTATGTCCCTGTATTATCAGTAAGCAAGTGAATTTGCACTCTGTGCATAAAATCTGTTTTTATAAACCAGTCGTCACTCAGAAACAAAAGCTGCCTGCCCATCTTAATTTTGCATTGCAATATTATGCAAGATTTTGTGTTTTCTAGTCTACTTACTGACATTTCTTTATCTTCACTTTTGTATGAGTGACTTTTGTACTGAAGAATGAATGATTAAATAAGTATGCTTGTGATTTTTAAATATTGTGAAAGTGTGTGCATGTTATTGTGTGTGAGTTGTGATCAAAAGATAAGCAGATAATGAACAAGGTTTTCTAGGTTTTCGTCCAAATACAGAACAGCTGTTCTCTGCATTGTTGCTCACGTCTTGGAAAAAATTAAGAATTTTTCTGTTTACATTGCTGATTAATGATTAATGTGATATTTTACATTTATTTTTGAAGTAATGTATTACTTGTTAACTTCTATTTATATCATTATTGTTTCTGCTATTTATTATACATTAGTCAATCAGTGTAGGAGAGTGTTACACTGTTACTGTGCGTACTTGTACTGTTTTTTTACTGTCAGCTACTTAATTTTATTTCTGAGCTCAACTACTAGACAAATGGAATTTTTGTGGGTATGGAGCAACCATGGCATTGAAATAAGAAGTATAGTTTGCGGTCACTCACTACTGCACACCACATGTTAATGTTATGCCATTTCTGTGATAGACATTTTAAAGTAGACTTTTATGTAATGAAGTATGACTCTTAGCACTCAATACATTTTTAAAATGTCTTTTTGTATAAACTGTATAGTACATAATGTAAATTATTATTTTCTATATGTGGTTCTCTGTTGTTTGTA